CACACACACCCTCTCCCAACACACACACACACACACACATACCGAAACCCCAATATCACCCCTTACTATCGAACATACAAAAAATCATCAAGATATTCCACTAAGAGCTTTCTATGTGTAAATAACAGTATATTATGATGAATGAACCGATGTATAACATTATTTACCATTACATTTTTTTATGTTTATAAAAGAAAACGTGGCGGTACACAGGTATAGCTTTAATATATGGCTTGGGCCTTGTAGACCAGATGGTGAGACGTGTTAATGTTAACGGATCTTTGTGTTTTGCTGCTTTAAAACACTTTATAACATTTAGGCTCGTTATTATTACAATTAAGAGATATATTATACTTATGACATATTATACTTGAGAGATACTATATGTAAGAGGTATAAGAAATTTTACTCGATATATTAAACTTAAAGGAAATATTAACACGGTCCCCAGCCTCAATAAACACAAATAACTTGTGATAACTAATGAAAAAATAAAATAATTGCGTAAGAGGCTCAGCGTCCTCTTTAGAAAGAACAATGAGATTAAGAAACAGGAAAGTGAAGCCTATTATATTGAAAACAAAAGACAATCAAGCCAATATTTACGGTATGAAAACCCTTGATGAGATCCGCCAGAGGTTTGTTTTACTTGTTGACAAATCCGGAATCAAGAGCAGACGAGAACAATGGGCGCCACTGGAGAATGAACGGCGGATATTTACGGTAAATAAATTATTTCTTCGCGTACAAAGCAAGTAGAGACGTGAAAGTAGTCATATGATCAGTTTTTTGCCGTGATTTAGCCCGTAATTTTTCTCTCCCAAGTCCTGTCTACTACAGGTGATTTATGATCGAAGGCAAATAAAAACGAAAAAAAAAACTACTTGAAATTTCAGGAAATAGTTGTCGATAACTGTTTCTCTGTTACCAAGTTTGGTATTATACAGAATTTATGAGAGATATTTTCAGTTGTGTGAATTCTTCTCTCTCATCTATCTATCTATTTATCTATCTATCCATCTATCTATCTATCTTAATACCTGTCCTCCATCCATCAATATTGTCACCATTAATGCCTCTTGCCTGTCAACACTTTACTCACTGACGCTTGACACTTATCATGGGTCTCACCTCCTGACTTTTACCTGTTGTGCTCACCTGTAATACACACCTGTCATGTGCACTTGTTCCTGTTTACATCTTTTGATCATCTGTCACCTGTCGCATATCCTTGTCATTTTTAATCTCTTTTCTTAATTTGTCATGTCATGCTTACCTGTCATATACACTTGTCTTGTTCAAACGTCATAATTATGTCATCACTCGCCTTTGAGTTCATCTGTCATACACAATTGTCATAAAATTCACTTGCCTTGCCCACGTGTCATAGTAACTTGCAATAAGAGTTTACATGTCATGGTCTCTTATCATGTTCACTTGTCATGTTCAATTGTCATGTTCACTTCTTTTATAAGCTCACGAACAACAACAACTTGTTCATAACCCCTGTCATTGATATTAATTGTCGTGATGTTTTGTCATAAACTAAATTTAAAAAAAACACTAAAACTTTTTTTTTTTTAGTCCATATATTAACTGTAATGTAAAGTGATTTAACTCTACTATGTATTTTCACCATTTCTCGAGTACTCTCTTGAAGGTGACTCACTCTTATGGATATTCTCACCATTAGAACTTTCATATCCTATTTCCAATCTTCAATACATTTCTTTGTACTATAATGCTCTATGTAATCTTGTACACTTTGGTATTATGCGCTGTTATTATTATTATTATTATTATTATTATTATTATTATTATTATTATTATTATTATTATTATTATTATTATTATTATTATTATTATTATTATTATTATTATTATTATTATTATTATTATTATTATTGTTATTGTTATTATTATTGTTATTGTTATTGTTATTATTATTATTATTATTATTATTATTCTCGTTGTTGTTGTTGTTGTTATTAACCCAATATGAATCAGACTTTGCTCTACAACACCTGACGCCTCCCTCAGGTTCCATCAAACAGGTATAAATGCTTGTGACTCTGAACGTGTTCCCGAGGTTACAGATCACATCAAGAAGCTACAGGAAGTGACAATATTGCCCCTACTCCTAAAATCCCTTCGTTAAGTGTCTATATGTTATCATCTAAACTTTCCTTGTGCTTTTTTGTCATTATAAACACGATCAAAATAACTATTGTAACACCTATTTTTCTACTATCAAAACATTAAGTGTATTGAAGGTACAGATATAGCCAGATGATTATGAGGTAGGTAGTTCCAATATTACAAGAGTATATAGGACTTAAGGACGTAGAGTACTGTTTATTCACAGCGTTATACCTATCATGGGTCAAAGGTAACACGTGTATATGTTACTTAGCATGACATGAGTATTACTGCACCTGTAATTTACTCTGTCAGCTTAATGAATGGAAGAGATGGTGAGTTATGAGCACAAAACTAATCCTGGAACCAGAACACTGTAACCTGATATTTTTAGGTCTCTATCTCATATGCTTATGTTTCGGTCTCGTATGCTAGAACATCCTCCTTGGTCTCGGATTTTTTGTTCGAGACCTTTAATTTGTGTATTCATTTTTCGGTGTGTTAGGAGGGATTGCTCAACAGATTAATTTAGGTTCAGTTATAGAACTCTAAAATTCTAGATCATGGATGTATTGTGTAACCGGAAGTCCACGGGCCCCATGCAACTCTCAATTACATGATGAGCGGCCCATAATGCATTATGTAAGACTAAACAAAACGTCACTGCAACTCACCATTGACTTGTGATGCTGTAAACTTTCATCTGACTTTCCCATGTATTCTTGTGTATAGTAGAACAGTATGGCGGGACAATATAGCGTAATGGAACAGTATAGCGGGCAATATGGCGTAGTGGAACAGTATGTTGGGACAATATGGCGTAGTGGAACAGTATGTTGGGACAATATGGCACAGTGGAACAGTATGGTTGGACAATATGACGTAGTGGAACAATATAGAGGGGCAATATGGCGTGGTGGAACAGTATGGCGCAGTGGAACAGTATGGCGGGACATTATGGCGTTGCCGTAGTGGAACAGTATGGTGTGACAGTATGACGCAGTGGAACAATATGGCAAGGCAATATGGCGGAGTGGAACAGTATGGCAGGACAACATGGCGCCACACATTTTGATAATTAGCACTGATGGGTTTAAATGGCATGTGTCTACGTCACCCTTATCGTGAACTTCCATTGCAGAGGAGAAGGACATGAGAGAGTGTGTGTTTAATTTCTTACTGATAAAACAACAATTAGGTAAGAATAGATGGCAGCTCTTAGTAACTGTGTCGATTATTGAGAGAAAAAAGTAAAGAACAATATTGATGATGAGTTTGATAATGTCCATGTTCTTAATATAACACTGTTCACACGTATAAAGGGCCTCTCTTTAAAACCTAACCAAACCTAACATAAATATCTACCTTGAGGTATAATTTTTTGAGTAATGATCGTGATTGTTTCTTAACCACATTTGATAATATACAGGCAATTCTCTCAAACGGATTAAGTTATATTTTCTGGGGTTTTTCACATATCGGACAAGGTTGAGGTAATTGTGTTGTAGAGTCGGAGTTGTGAAGGCTATGAGAGAGAACGTCTAGGTAATAATACCTTCTCAAGAAAACTCTGTGATGAAATATAAACATCTGATAATATTCTTGAAGTGATAGGTTTTTTGTCTTTCGTTCACTAACACCTTGAGTAAGATGACTTAATCCTTTGAGTGCGATGACTTTACCCTTTGAGTACGATGACTTACCCTTTCAGTGGAATTACCTACCCTTTAAGTGCGAAGACTTTACCCTTTGAGTACGATGACTTAACCCTTTGAGTGCGATGACTTTACCCTTTGAGTACGATGACTTACCCTTTCAGTGGAATTACCTACCCTTTGAGTGCGATGACTTTACCCTTTGAGTACGATGACTTACCCTTTCAGTGGAATTACGTACCCTTTGAGTGCGATGATTTAATCCTTTGAGCACTACAGTTTAACCTTTTCAGTGTGATGACTTACCCCATCAATACTATGATTTAACCCCATGAGTACAATGATTGAACCTCATGATTACGATGAAATAACCCAGTAAGTACGATGACTTAACTCCATGAGTACGATGATTTAACCCCATGAGTACGATAAGTACAGTAACATCGTACTCACAACAATAAGTAATGGTATATAACGAATTAAGTCATTGTACTTGGGTTAAATCATCGTATTCAAGGGCAAACTCATCGTACTCAAGGGTTAAATCATCGTACTCAAGGGGTAAATCATCGTACTCAAGGGTTAAATCATCGTACTCAAGGGCAAAATCATCGTACTCAAGGGTTAAATCATCGTACTCAAGGGCAAAATCATCGTACTCAAGGGTTAAATTATCGTACTCAAGGGCAGAATCATCGTACTCAAGGGGTTAAAATAGCTCATTCACTGGACTAAATAAGGTGTTTATTTATTTCTGGAGAAGCTAAAAAAACAGAGTGATGTCTGCCTATCCGTCCGTCCGTCTATCTATCTATCTATCTATCTATCTATCTATCTATCTATCTGTCTGTCTGTCTGTCTGTCTGTCTGTCTGTCTGTAGGTAGATAGATAGATAGAAAAGTTTATTAACCCCAAAATGGTAAATTACATAGATACAAACGTATAAATCCGTATATAAACAAAACCTGTGTGAGCTTCATGGTCCACAAAGACTTTATGGTTGGTTGGTGTCGTCTCGTCGGTTCTATAGACTCGAGATAATGATTAATGCATGAGAGAACACTGTTAACTGTCCTGTACTGTACTCAGCTGTCATTAGAAATATGCCTCATCATGTGGCTTGAGAGGGGATGACCGTGTGTGTGTGAGGGGGACGGGAAGAGGAGTATATATAACATCATTCTCCCTCACGCTCTACATCAGTTGTCGTCCTGCATCTGCTCCATCAACAATGACAGTCAGGGTAAATATCACTATGGTTACTTTTATTTCTGTCTAATAAACTAAAAGACTGGACTTAAGCACGGAGGGTGAACCTGAAATACTAACGAGTCAACACACAGTATTACACACACTTGAGTCTGGCGTCCTGCATCAATGAAAGATTAAAACAACAGAGGTGTATCTCGACCTGTGGCTCTGAAAATTTGTGATATGGTTTTTATACGACCAACAGATGGGGACAATGATATACTACTAACAGTGTTTCTCAGTGGATATCAAACACGTACTACTCCCTCAGTGGAGATTCAGAAACGAGATCAATAAACTGATAACTAATACGATGACCGCAACGAAATCTTAAACAAGAAGACATTGCTGAGAAAGAAGAGGATAATATGCTTTGGAATGTTGCCTCAGGTAAACGATCTTCAAGTAACTAACTAACGCTTACAGATTATGTTATTCACACTTGCAGGTTGTAATGTTGACCGCCCTCGTGGCTGCCGCCCTGGCGAGCCCTAAACCTGACCCAATCTACAGTCCTCCTTCACAAAACGTTGACGCCTACCCCACTCCATCCTACAACGCCCCACCTCCCGCCTACGGCCACTCCGCTCCTGCTGAGGTAAGGTCATGTGTACGACAGCCAACTGAATACAAATAAACGATGTAAGTTTCTATTGTAATCTGTGTGAACTTTTTCCTCCCCTCAGGGTCCTGCTCAGTACGACTTCACCTATACCGTGAGGGACGACAACTCCGGCAACGACTTCGGCCATGAAGAATCCCGTGACGGCTACAACACCCAGGGCTCCTACTTCGTGCTGCTTCCCGACGGTCGTGTGCAGAGGGTGACTTACCACGTCGACGGTGACTCCGGCTACGTGGCTGAGGTGACCTACGAGGGTGAGGCCCAGTACTCCGACTACCAGCCTGCCCCAGCATACCGCCCCGCCCTTGCACCAGCCTACACCCCTGCACCAACCTACGACCCTACCCCATCCTACCAACCTGCCCCATCCTACCAACCTGCTCCATCCTACCAACCTGCCCGAGCCTTCCTGCCTTCCCCAGCTTACCAACCTGAACCTACATACGCGTAAAGATAACACTGCCATTATGAATGTATTTATGATGTGAGATTCTTCAGTAAAAGCTTCCAAAATACATCTTTATTCTATTTCCTGGTCAAGAGCTACAATATGAGATGCTATACTCCATTGACTTCACAGGTGATTATATCAGCAGAGGTAAAATACAGAGGAAACTTAAAAGAAAGACTCGGATAATTTAGGAATCTCTGGTGATCTAACGTCCACAGTGGTGAGTATTTTACCAATATAAACAAGCTATAAACAATAAATTACCTCAGCCTCAAACATCCGCCTCCAGTAAGAGCTGCAGCAACACCACCAGATGAAGAGACCCATGAGTGTTACGGCCGCAGTGACTCACACGCTGATCACCAGTAAAACAAACCCTAAAAACTTGAAAATATTGTTCATAAGCTTAAAAAGGGCATTTTATAGTTTATGTTGTGTATGAAGCTGTTTATATGTATTTTCGTGATCTGCATGTTCAATCGCCTCAACCCCACCTCGACCACCCAGAGTGAAACAAAGACACTCACAGGTAGTATAGGACTCTGGTACGGGTAAGAGGGAGGAGGAGAAGGGAGCTGTACGATAACTGCAATCCCATTCGGCAACAAGTTTACTGCGATTGGATACAATATATTACTTGTAATACAAACACAAGGCATTAGTAAGACATTCACAACAAATTTATGTATAACATATATGTAGGAATAAAACATAAATTACTGTACAGGTCATTTTGTAATTTTGTCTGTTCAGGACAGTGTTACACCTACGAACCGTAGGTGTATACTTATTCTTGTGGCCGACTGTACATGCATTCCTGGCACCTTTTAACAACCAAATGCAAAGTGAACATAAATTAAAACTCAACCTACAACACAGAGAGTACAACTCACTGATCTCGTCCCACAAGTTCTGCCAAACAGTTTTAATGTCAACTTGATAATTTACAATGAATTCCACAAACAATAGCGACTCCACCATAACAGTGTTACTACACCGTATACAGGACCACTATAATTGCATCATCAGTGACCTACGAGATCATTATCCATCAATTCAACACCTGCCCCAGTGGGTGAGCCCTCAGCGCCCTCACCCGTCATTCCCATGCCAGTGCTGTATAAACTTACGATATTGCTGCCAAAGATGTCAGAGGTCAAAATCCTAATTTCTAAAACTAGGGTCCACGTATTCTCCATCTCGGAGTCGTGGTTAGATGACAGCCACAAATAAGGAAATAAGAATAGAGGGATACAATGTGTAACGTCCTGACAAAAAACAGACATGGGGGCGTTGTTTGGGCTTATATACAGTAAGACGTGACTTGGCCTACAACCTTAGATCTGACTTACATGATGACTATTTGGAGGGACTATGGCTGGAAATAATGTTAGCTATAACTAAACCCACCCTCTTAGCACTCTCTGCCGGCTACCCAACGATAATCAGTTTGTGAACCTTTAACCAAGATTTTATCATATATTAGGACCGACTATGAAACAATAATACAGGGTGACTTTAATATTTGTTTTAAGCAAGAGGAAAACAGTTTGTATAAGACTTATAAACAAATCTTAGATATATACGGCTTGAAGCAACTAACCAATTCATCAACCCGGATAACAAAGACAAAATCAGTCAGTTAGGGGTCATTCCTGTTGGCCTTAGTGACCATTGCATCACCTACTGCAGCAGGAAAAAGGTCATGGATAACACAGGACAACACAAAGTAATCAAAATACAGTCAGTGAAGAATCACAACAAAGAAGAGTTCCAAAATAAACTACAAAATATTGATTGGTCGCATATGACAAATTGCATGGAGGTTAATTCGTCCTCGGAGAAGTTCAAAACTAAGACTGAATCGTGGATGACTAGCGATATAGTGGAATAAACCAGACACAGAGACCAACTCGCTCGTGGGTTTAAAAGAAAAAAAAAATGATGGCAAGTCACACAAGTAATTTAGTAGGCTAAGACACAAAGTACAGAGAGATGTAGGATGAGGAAAATAAAAATAACCCCCAAAAGCTCAGGAAGTCACTACAAGCCCTTGGAGTTTAGGACACAGCAACAAACCAAAAGACCGTCCCAGCGTAGTGTTAAACATCAATGAAAAACGCTGTCACGACGCATCTGTAGTTGTAGATATGGTAATGCTTGACTTGCAAAAAGCCTTCAACACAGTCGATCATGATATACTATGTGAAAACTGCAGACTCTTGGTGTTGGGTCTGTTGACAGGAAACAAATTGTTTTGCAAATAACACCAAATCAACATTTATGCCATTAGCCTGTAGAGTCCCACAAGGGAGTATCCAGGGACCTTTGCTCTTCCAATGTTATATAAACGCCATGTTCATTAGTGTTAATTGTAGACGTTTGCTGCATGTCGATGACAGTAAACGAATTCATTGTACTATGTGGGAATGAACCATCTCAACTGTAACCTCGGTGAAATACCTTGGACTAACTCATGACTCTTTGTTTGTTTGGTGAATTAATCGTAGATAATATAGTAAAAAATAATTATGCCAAATTAAATTTATCTACATAATGCTAAATGTCTCTCAGTTGATGCACGTAGGATCCTTTGCTTGGCGCTCATACAATGTCACTTGGACTATTCCTGCTCGTCATGGTACTCTGCCGTAACACAGAAGCTAAAATTCAAGATTCAAATTGTTCAAAACAAGGCCACCGCCTTGTTGGCATGGGCGCAAGAGATCACTTTGGTCACGAAGTTCTTCAATCACTGAACATGGTAAGTGAAGCAGCTGAGGATTGTCAGTGGACTGTACCCAGAGTAACTAACAACAAAATTTGAAAGGATTAGGTATATGAAGCGGCAAGGGAATATAGAGAAAGTGAACATAATTTTATGGTACCTGGTGTTCGCGGTCAAGCGAAAAAACACTTTCTTCTTTACTGCTATAACATACTGGAACAAATTACCAGGCCACATCAAAACCAGTAATGGTATTAAGCAATTCAAATCTAAAACAAAGAAATACAAAACAGATGAAACTACAGCAAGAGAAGAGATTTTCTATATTATTAAACCACAGAATATTATACTACGGAGTAATCCACCAGCCTCGGGTAGTCCAAGTGCAATGTAATGCTTGATGAATTCACTCCATAAACTTTCACTAATACTGTACTCCTGTAGACATAGTGACTACAGACCAAGCGTAAACCTTAACAAAAGACCCTCCTGGAAACAAGCACCTGGCAGCTTTGTCGACTATCCTTGGTCAAGTTGTCTTGGTGTTTACCATTGATGTTCACACAATACTCCCACGACCTACGTGTAACGTATACCTACAGTATAAAGTCTATACTCATACTGAACTGTATAACTGCATAGTTCATAAACATGCTTACCCAATTGTAAACCTGTATGATAATTTTACTGAATAAGTGTTATTATTATTATTATTATTATTATTATTATTATTATTATTATTATTATTATTATTATTATTATTATTATTATTATTATTATTATTATTATTATTATTATTATTATTATTATTATTATTATTATCGGCAGATCAAAACCTGCCCTGTCATCCTGCACCTTAGCCCGAAAAAAACTATATGTATATAGAGAAATAATAAATAAGTACTCAAACTAAGCATATAAATACATAGATAAGGGTAAACAAAGGTTGATAGATAGAAACATGAATAGGGAGAGAGAGAGAGAGAGAGAGAGAGAGAGAGAGAGAGAGAGAGAACACTTGCCAAGATTTTCTAAACGGATCTTTGCTGGGTGATATATATTATATAACGTTTTCTTTACATTAGAACAGTAAGGGAAATGGGAAGTTGGTTGGGAGAATATGACGAAACATTGATCGACAACTACCACGAACATGACCGCTAAGCCATTTATTATTTTAAGGATACGAACAGGCGTTATCTATCGTAACCAACCCTAACCTAGCCCATCGTAATTAAACGTAACGTGACGTCATGTAATCTAACTCAACCTCAGCTGGAACAAACCTAACTTTACTAAGTGAAATCTAACCAAACCTAATTAGCAGTAATCTAACCTAAACTAACCAAAATAAACCTAACTAAACGTAATTAGTTACCGGGATGTTGAGGATAAGTCGTTATGATTCTTGTCTTCGGCCTTTCAACACATACTGTAAATTATTTTGCTTTGTTTTGCTTTGTTTATAGTTTGTTTATTTTAGGGTGAGTTTTGCTCGTGGTACTCACGCAATATCTTTTTAATTTGGATGAAGAGGTGAAGTAAACACAGGACTTGCATTAATGTGTATTTTTTTACCTGATTATTCGTTCCTACCCAGTTTATTTGACCTGAATATTTTTGGGTTTCATGGTGTATATTTTTAATTTTTGCCAATCACTTAGCATTTAATCTCTTAATTATCAATCACTGGTATATTGCTGCCACCACTCCTGTTGGGAAATAATTAATTTCAAGGTTCACTGTGTTACAAGGTATTCTTTCTCAAAAGTGGTGTAATTCTAAAGATATCACAGGATTATGTAGATATCATATTACAGTATTTATATTTATTAACAAATAAAACCAACATTATCAAAGGAGACGGCGAGTGATAATGAACTCTAAGGGTGATCTCGCCAGAGTCCTTAAGAATCGCAACCAATGCTGGTGAAGGCTCAGGGTACAGTTTAGCACAACCACTATGAAGTCTGCTCATACACTCCTGCTAAACACATGGTTACACATCTGAGGCACTGCGCCCTCTTGGAGATATTGCTGACTTGGTACAAAGCCGTTGGTGTACCAATGGCTTGGCTGGCCATCTTGCCTAACCAACATCTGGCCAGAGCTGGCAATGGCCCTGGGCCACCTGGACCACTTGGGTCAGACTCGCTCAAAGGTCTTATCAGTGCCAGTAATGGAGATCTGTTGCACTTTACTACACCTGAAACCAGCTTCACACTAGCCACCTCCATCAACAACAGTCAACACCTCTCGGTTAACAATTTATAGTCGATAACTCCCACAGTATTCGTCCCTCTCCATCCTATTTAACCTGAAGATTAATCACCTTAAATCCAACCTAACTTAATATAGCCAACCATAACCTCCGCACATAGCATTAGGGTGGTTAATCTTCACGTGAATTGACCTTGGGTGTCTAATCTTCAGCTCATCCTTCACTCCACACACTATAAGCAACGTACTTTACATTATCTACCTGGGAGTGTATTTCTGAGTGATGGTCATGTGTATATTTCTATTTCAAAGAGTAAATTCACTCAACTCTATTAATCTCTTTACTTTCACAATATCAGACAAGGTTGATGTGATCCTGTCGCAGAGGTGAAGTTGTGAAGGTTGTGTGAGAACGTTTGATGACACTCACTAGAAATCTTGAGTGATGGGAAACCAAAGTTATAAAGTATCGAAGGTTTAGCAAGAGTCAGCTATAGTTATAAAGTATCGGAGGTTTAACAAAAGTCAACCAAAGGTATAAAGTATTGGAGGTTTAACAAACGCCAGCTATAGTTATAAAGTATTGGAGGTTTAACAAACGTCAGCTATAGTTATAAAGTATTGGAGGTTTAACAAAATTCAACTATAGTTATAAAGTATCGGAGGTTTAACAAAAGTCAACCAAAGGTATAAAGTATTGGAGGTTTAACAAAAGTCAACCAAAGGTATAAAGTATTGGAGGTTTAACAAAAGTCAGTCGTTTGTGGTAAAGTTATTTAATGTGACAATGTGTATATAGTGGTATATAGTATATACAGTAGTATAAAGTAGACATCGCCGACATAGACACAGACACCTCCGACATAGACACATACACCAGCGACATAGACACAGACACCACCGACATAGACACAGACACCACCGATCTAGACACAGACACCACCGACATAGACACAGACACCACCGATCTAGACACAGACACCACCGACATAGACACATACACCACCGATCTAGACACAGACACCACCGACATAGACACAGACACCACCGATCTAGACACAGACACCACCGACATAGACACATACACCACCGATCTAGACACAGACACCACCGACATGACAGACACCACCGACATGAACCGACCTGACACAGACACCAGCGACATCTAGACACAGACACACTAGACACAGACACCACCGACCCAGACCATACATAGACACAGACACATACACCACCGATCTGAACACAGACACCAGCGACATAGACAGACATACACCTAGACCAGATCCAGCGCCACCCACAGACACAGACACCACCGACCTGAACACAGACACCAGCGACATAGACACAGACACCACCGACCTGAACACAGACACCACCGACCTAGACACAGACACCAGCGACAGACACAGACACCACCGACACAGACCACCGACATAGACACAGACACCACACACACACACACCACCGACCTAGACACAGACACCACCGACAGACACAGACGCCACCGACCTAGACACATACACCACCGACCTGAACACAGACACCAGTGACATAGACACAGACACCAGACATAGACACAGACACCAGCGAGACACAGACACCACCGACCAGACACCACACATAGACACAGACGCCACCGACCTGAACACGGACACCAGCGACCAGCACAGACACCACCGACAGACACAGACACCAGCGACATAGACACGAGACATCACCGACCTAGACACAGACACACCGAACACAGACGCCACCGACCTGAACAGACACCAGCGACATAGACACAGACACCACCGACATAGACACAGACACCAGCGACATAGACACAGACATCACCGACCTGAACACAGACACCACCGACACAGACACAGACGCCACCGACCTGAACACAGACACCAGCGACATAGACACAGACACCACCGACGACAGACACAGACACCAGCGACATAGACACAGACATCACCGACATAGACAAAGACACCACCGACTTGATACCGACAGACAGACACCAGCCGACCTGACACAGACACCAGCGACACACAGACGACCTAGACACAGACACCACCGACGCGACACAGACGCCACCGACCTGAACACATACACCACCGACCTGAGACACAGACACCACCGACATAGACACAGCCACCACCGACCTGAACACAGACACCACCGACATAGACACAGACACCACCGACCTGAGACACACCACCGACCCACAGACCTGAACACAGACACCACCGACCTGAGACACAGACACCACCGGCATAGACACATACACCGGCCAGACACAGACACCACCGACCTGAACACAGACACCACCCCTGAACACAGACACCACCCCTAGACACATACACCACCGACATGACACAGACACCACCGACCTGAACATAGATACCACCGACCCTAGACACAGACACCACCGACAGACACACACCACCGACACACAGACACCACCGACCCAGACACAGACACCACCGACATGAGACACATACACCACCGACCTAGACACAGACACCACCGACCTGAACACGACACACCGACATAAGACACAGACACCACCGACGCAGACACAGACACCACCGACATAGACACAGACAGACTGACATAGACACAGACACCACCGACCTGAACACACACACCACACACCACCTGACACAGACACCAGCGACACAGACACAGCGACACCGACCACACATAGACACAGACATCACCGACCCTGAACACAGACCACCGACATAGACACAGACGCCACCGACCCACCGACCTGAACACAGCGACACATGACGTGCAACACACACACCAGCGACAGACACAGACACCACACACAGACACCAGCGACATAGACACAGACATCACCGACCGACACAGACACACCGACGCAGACACAGACGCCACCGACTTCAGACATAGACAGACACCACAGACACCACCGACCTAGACACAGACACCAGCGACATAGACACAGACACCACCGACATAGACACAGACACCAGACATAGACACAGACATCACCGACCTGAACACAGACACCACCGACATAGACACAGACGCCACCGACCTGAACACATACACCACCGACCTGACACACAGACACCACCGACCTGAACACAGACGACCACCGACCTGAACACAGACACCACGACATGACACATACACACCGACCTGACACACAGACACACGACAGACACCACCGGCATAGACACAGACACCACACAGACACAGAACACAGACACCACCGACCTGAACACAGACACCACCGACATAGACACAGACACCACCGACCTGAGACACAGACACCACCGACCTAGACACAGACACCACCGGACACAGACACCACCAACACACAGACACCACCGACCTAACACAGACACATACACCACCGACCTGAACACAGACACCAGACACGACATAGACACCAGACACACACCGACCTAGACACAGACACCACCGACCCTGAGACACAGACACCACCTGACCAGCGACACACATAGACACACCACCTGACCCAGACACAGACACACAGACACCTACACACAGACACACCGACTTGAACACAGACACCACACTACCTGAGACACAGACACCACCGACCTAGACACGAACACCACCGACCTGACACAGACACCACCGACATGACACGACCTGAACATAGATGCCAGCGACCTTGACACAGACACCACCTGACATACACACACAGACCATAGACACAGACACCACCGACCTAGACACAGACACCACCGACATAGACACAGACACTACCGACATAGACACAGACACCTCCGACATAGACACAGACACCACCGACCTAGACACAGACACCAGCGACCTAGACACAGACACCACCGACATAGACACAGACACCACCGACATAGACACAGACACTACCGACATAGACACAGACACCTCCGACCTAGACATAGATACCAGCGACCTAGACACAGACACCACTGTCCTCGAAAGTAACACAAGAGAAGTTCAGTCATTCAGAGACCACTAACTCTGATTACAATCGTGAAACAACTGCATGAAGGCTGACCTCGTCTCTTCCGTAGCCTCAAGATGATCATGGGAACATCTTAAAAAGTGTATCAAAGACTTAAAAGCCACTAGTGAAACGCCTTGTCACGTGACTCGATGTGTGTGTGTGTGTGTGTGTGTCTGGGAGTATATATACGGCTGTCCCCCACGCATTAGGTCCGTCACCTTCCAGCTTCTATTCCATCAACAATGACAAACGAGGTAAACATCATTGTAAAGACTTTTTCAATTCCTTTCATAAACGAGTCTACGTAAGTGCTGGAGCCAGTAGGTTAGGTTAGGTATATATTCTATCTTCCTCTAATGGACTGGATATTGTTTTAAATAGGATACAAGCGATGAATTGTTGAGGCCCAAGCTATAATGAACTAACTCTCAATGCCTCTACCTATTAAAAACATAACGCATCCTCAGTGTTGTTTCTACCTCTGGACCCTTAAATTGTCATATTATTGCTATGAATGCAAAGACTCTATCGACATCACTGAAAAGAAGATAATATGATTTGGATTATTGCCTCAGGTGGTCGTGGTTCACACAACCAAATGTCGTTTATGGATTACGTAATTTTCACATTTGCAGGTTGTGATGTTGTTGGCCCTCGTGGCGGCCACTCTCGCCAGCCCCAAACCTGACAGAATGTACAGCGCCCCATCATACAATGCCAACAGCCACCCTATGCCGTCCTACGAAGCCTCAGTCCACCCTATGCCATCCTATGAAGCTCCCTCCCACGCTATGCCATCTTACGAAGCCCCTTCCCACCCTATGCCATCCTACGAAGCCCCCTCCCACCCTATGCCATCCTACGAAGCCCCCGCCCGCTCCACACCATCCTACAACGCTCCCGCCCGCCCCACTCCATCCTACAACGCTCCAGCCCACCCCACTCCATCCTACAACGCTCCCGCCCATCCCACTCCATCCTGCCCCGCCACTCCATCCTACAAAGCTCCCGCCCATCCCACTCCATCCTACAACGCTCCCGCCCACCCCACTCCATCCTACAACGCTCCCGCCCACCCCACTCCATCCTACAACGCTCCAGCCCCTGCCTACGACCGCTCCGCTCCCGCTGAGGTAAGATCGTGTGTACGACATTAGCAACAGTCAAAAGAAATAGTAAATCAAAACTAACTGAAGTTTCTTGTGTGATCTGTGACAAATTCTTCCTCCCCTCAGGGTCCTGCTCAGTACGACTTCACCTACGTCGTAAGGGACGACAACTCCGGCAACGACTTCGGTCACCAGGAAGCTCGTGACGGCTACAACACTCAGGGCTCTTACTCCGTGCTGCTGCCTGACGGTCGTTTGCAGAGGGTAACTTACTACGTCGACGGTGACTCCGGCTACGTGGCTGAGGTGACCTACGAGGGTGAGGCTCAGTATCCTGCCTACCAGCCCGCCCCATCTTACCGCCCCGCCCCTGCTCCTGCCCACCAACCTGCCCCAGCCTACCGGCCTGCCCCAGCTTACCAACCTGAACCTACATACGCGTAAAGATACCACTCCGAATCAACGACTGAGATTATGAATGTATTTATGATGTGAGATTCTTCAGTAAAAGCTTCCAAAATACATCTTTATTATATTTCCTGGTCAAGAACTACAATGTGAGATGCTATACGTTATTGACTTCACAGGTGATTAGCTCAGTGGAGGTGAAACATGATAGTAAAATGAAGAAAGATTCAGATTATTCATGAGTCTAGTGCCAAGATCAATAACTTAACAACAGTGAATAGATTAAGGAACAACAGGAACAACAACAACCTATAATCTAATAGAAAAAAATAATATCTTTCTTACCTTTTAAAAGTTTCTGTCGTGTTTTGAAACTGACCTAAGCTGTTTATGTACTTTAATCAATAATAATATATAATGTCAATAGTGAATAAAATATTTACATACTAAAGTAAAGCAAAACCTAAGAACAATAAGACTACATATAAATTAATAATAAATTCAGACAAACCATAATATGAAATACACAGTCCACAAGGAGCCACGTCACATATGTTAGACAGCTGCTGATGCCGAGAACTAAGAAGGCAGAACGGGTGGCCCTGGGTATATACCTCCCCAAAACTGATACATATAACATGACAACAAATGGAGAGGGTTACAAGGGTGTGGGCAGGGAAACTCTTATTATAATGAAGTATGGAGGTTCAGATAGTGTTCTTAGTTTTAACGAAATGAATGATTGAGAGCGAGTACAGTATGGTGTGTGTGTCTAAAGTGTCTTGTGAAGAGTTTATACTGGAGGTCAATTGGGATCGGTTTTAACTTTATATACTGTTACGAGTTGGGGATTTAGAAACTGGTTTAGAATATAGTTAAAAGTCTACCCAGATCCCAACAGGCAATAACAATAAAAACACTAAACAAACAAAGACAATCGGACTATAAAAGGGTAGACAAAGGATGCGAGTTTTTGTTGTGTAAAATAAAGTACAATAAATTCCTTACAAAATATCCAGCTTTCTATAATTTACCCTTAACCATACTTAACTTAAACATACGCAACATGGGCTTAACAGTATATACATATTTATACAACATACAACAATCTGAAGCAAGTGGAGGTGGGAGGTAATATAGGGTTACAATACTCAAGTGCGGTGCTGAAGTGTCTGACAAGTAGGGCTGAGTATTGAAGAAGATGGTAGGTAGTCACTGTGCCGTAGGTTTCCAGGATAGGTAATCTAAGTGTGGTCACTTCCCAGAGTGAACTGAACTCTCCTCGATCCGGAGCTGATGAGGAAGAGTTGGAGGAGGTGACGCAACAACCAGGATATGGAGAAAGGAAACCCGGAGTGGGGACTAAGACTAGTCATACTCGGGTTTCGTCCCTAGATGGCGTTGCTCGGTAGTGCTGGGTAGTTAGATCATGACACAATAGATGGCGTGGTTCGTAATACACCCCCCCTCCAAAGACCTCCGTAGCGCTGGCGCGAAGGAGGTGATCACCTGGTGCGTCTGGAAAGTAGCTGCTGCATTTCCACTGGAGCTCGGGATAAGGAGTCCGCAATCAGGTTGTCCACCCCCTTTATGTGCCGGACTTGTAGATTATAGGGCTGGGTGAGGAGAGCCCAGCGGAGGATTCGCTGGTTGGAGGTCTTGTTGGTTTGGATGAACGTGAGCTGGTTATGGTCGGTGAAGACAATGGTTGTTTGTGGGCGAGATTGGAGGTAACATTCAAACTTCTTTATTGCCAACACCAGAGCCAGGGCCTCCTTCTCTATGGTCGAGTAGTTGGTCTGATGTTTTTTCAACTTGGCGGAGTAGTATGCCACAGGGTGAAGGACATCAGTGGTTGGGTCTGGTTGTTGGAGCACAGCCCCCACTCCGACACTGCTAGCGTCGATTTGCAGATGGAAGGGCAAGGTGTAGTCAGGTGAGTGGACTACAGGCTTGGAGGCAAGGAAGGCTTTGAGGCGGTGGAAAGACTGGTCGCACCTCTGGTTGCAGATGTAAGGGACTGCAGAACTGGTAAGGTCTGTGAGGGGTCCGGCCACACTGGAGAAGTTACTGCAGAACCGGCGGTAGTAGCCGCACATCCCCAGGAAGCGCATGAGTTCCTTCCTCGTCCTTGGAGTGAGGAAGGACAAGATGGCTTTAGCGTTTGCGTCCTTGGGTCTCGCCATACCATGCCCAACGATATGTCCCAGGTAAGTCACTGAGGCCCGGCCAAAAGCAGGTAATTGATTGCCCTCTGGAATGTGGCCGGAGCATTAGAAAAACCAAACGCCATAACCAAATATTGAGAAAGACCAAATGGAGTTATAACTGCTGAGATTATTTTTGCCCTATCCGTGAGTCCCACTTGATAATATCCTTTCATCAAGTCCACCGTTGTAATAAATTTTGCACAGCCTATGCTGTCTATTATATCTTCAATCAAAGGTAAAGGGTAGGAGTCTGAGACAGTGACCTGGTTCACTTTACGATAATCGGTACAGAAACGAAAACTGCTATCGGGTTTTGGAATGAGAAGGCAAGGTGAAGCCCAGGGGGAGGTACTAGGCTCAGCTAAGTTATGTTTAAACAAAAAATCTACCTCCTTTTTCATAATCTCTCTTTTTTGTGGATTTAGCCGATATGCTGATTGCCTAATGCAGTGGTTCTTAACCTGGGGGGCGTCAGTAATTTCCAGGGGGGGGGGGGCGCAAGCCCTAGGAAAAAAGTAGGAATTTCTCTAATTATAACTATAGTTTTTATTCTCTTAACAAGAGCGTGGACTAATATTGAGAAGCTTATGAAAAAATACAAAAGTATCGCCTTATAACTTTAGTTTTCTATAGGCTACTTTTTTTGACTTAGGGCTTATCATTTTCTGTACTTATTGACCCCCTCCCTATCCCTCGAAACCCATGGGGGAGGGGGGTTAACTCTTCCTGGACCTGTATACTGCTCGTTGGTGACTGGTGAGCCCTGTTCTCTCCCAGTCTTCTGCACACGTCCGTGGCAATAATTCCTCTTCTCTCATATTTATTCAGTTAAGGCTGTTGAGGTATGTGTCAGGCAACAGTGTAAAAGAGGAAATGCTGTTCTGTCACCCCATGGAAAGTTGTACAACAGCAGCAGCTATTTTTCATGATGTATCAAACTTCTTTCAGGAAAGCCAACTTTCGTGGGACTCACTGGTAGGGGTGTGCACTGATGGAGCTCCAGCCATGTTTGGTCTGCAGTTTGGATTCATTACAATGGTGAAAGAAAAAATCCGTCTGTTGTAGGTACTATTACGAACCACGCCATCTGTTGTGTCAGGATCTAACTACCCAGCACTACCGAGCAACGCCATCTAGGGACGAAACCAGATTATGACTAGTCTTAGTCACCACTCTGGGTTTCCTTTCTCTATATCCTGGTTGTTGCGTCACCTCCTCCAACTCTTCCTCATCAGCTCCGGATCGAGGAGAGTTCAGTTCCCTCTGGGAAGTGACCACACTTAGATTACCTATCCTGGAAACCTACGGCACAGTGACTACCTACCATCTTCTTCAATACTCAGCCCTACTCGTCAGACACATCAGCACCGCACTTGAGTATTTGTAACCCTATATTACCTCCCACCTCCACTTGCTTCAGATTGTTGTAGGTTGCATAAATATGTATATACTGTTAAGCCAATGTTGCATATGTTTAAGTTAAGTATGGTTAAGGGTAAATTATAGAAAGCTGGATATTTTGTTAAGGAATTTATGGTACTTTATTATACACAACAAAAACTCGCATCCTTTGTCTACCCTTTTATAGTCCGATTATCTTTGTTTGTTTAGTTTTTTATTGTTGTTGCCTGTTGGGATCTGGGTAGACATTTAACTATATTCTAAATCAATTTCTAAATCCCCAACTCGTAACAGTAACACTGCATACTTCATCGTGAATCCTTAGTATCCAGAACTTTACCTGCTGAAATGAGGGATGTCATGAACGTGGCTATCAAGGTAGTCAACTTTATCAAAGCTGGAGCCTTAAACAGTCGTCTCTTCAAACTGCTGTGTAAGGATATGGAATCTGAACATGAAACCTTACTTTTTCACACGAACGTACGATGGCTATCAAAGGGGAACATGCTTGGACGGCTTTATGAACTCCGAGAAGAAGTAGCAATATTTCTTGATTCGAAGCATAAGGCAGATCTCCATGACAAGTTCCAGTCTGAAGGCTTTCAGCTATCTCTAGCTTACCTGGTGGACATCTTCGAAGCGTTGAATGTTCTCAACCTTAAACTACAAGGGAAAAACATCAACATCATCATGCCCCACGACACCATTCGAACCTTCATGGCCAAATTCGACCTCTGGAAGTGTCGAATTCAGCAGGAAAATACAGCCAGTTTTAGTAACTTGGATTCTGCTCTCATTCACGGTAACCTTGATTCTGAGTTAAAGAAACAAATAATCACTCATCTAACTGACTTGAAAACAGAATTCATCAGATACTTCCCAGAGATAGTTGAGAAGCGTGAAGCCTGGAAATTCATCAGGAACCCATTTCAATGTGAAGTAGCTGATGTTTCGGATGAATTGCAAGAGGAGTTTCTTGAGTTGAAGTTCAACTCCACAGCTAAGGAAGACTTCAAAGAACTGGATCTTGAGACGTTCTGGGTCAAGTACCTTCCTGTTTACCCTCTGATCTCACATCAGGCTCTTCGGATTCTAACTATGTTCGGATCCACTATCTTTGTGAAGCTGCATTTTCCAAGCTCGTTGCTGTCAAGACCAAGTACAGAAACAGGCTGAACGTTGAAGGGGATTTACGTTGTGCACTCACTGGCATTCAACCACTCATTCAAGATCTAGTAGCTAAGAAGCAGTGTTTTGTATCTCACTAATTTATACTCAATAAAAAGACTAAAAACACAATATTTTTCATTTTTCTTTAAAATCTGGGAGGGAATTTTATTCATAGATGCAAGGGGGGCGTGGAGGGAAGGACCAATTCCTAGAGGGGGCGTGGTAGTAAAAAGGTTAAGAACCACTGGCCTAATGGGTTGTACATCATTTGAGATTAGCTTAATATCATGTTTAAGTATATTGCAAAACCCTGGGAGGTCTGACGTGACTTTAGGAAATGTTGATAATAACTTAGTGAGATCTTTTGCTTGAGATGGATTCAGAACAGAAAAATACTCATCCAAGTTGTTGAGTATGTGACTGTTAGCAGGGTTCTCTTTAGGTAGAGGGAAGTCTAAATTCTCCAATAGGTCCATGTCATCTGTCTCCGGCTCCGGCCCTGACAAAGCCGTATGCAATACAGGTAGGCTTATAGCCTCTGGGATGTCTTCCTCTGACTGCCTGGAATGGTAAAGTTTCATGAGATTAATGAGAACAAGTTGTGAATCTTTTCTGCGATCAGGAGTATGGACTATATAGTTGAGGGGAGATAGTTTATTAGCAACTATATAGGGACCAGTAAACTTGCTTTTAAGGGGAGAGCCTGGAATGGGTAGAAAGAGTAACACTTTGTCACCTGGAGAAAATGATCTTTCAACTAATTTAGGTTGGGACTTCACCATTTTGTCTTGGACTTTTTTTAAGTTTGATTTGAAAGTTTGATGGAACCGTTCCAAGCAACCTTGGGATTGTGGGTGGTAAGCCGAAGCTGTACAATGGTCCACACTGAGGTCATTCGTCACCTGTTTGAACAAAGATGGTTCAGATTGTTGGGCTTTAATGAGCTCATCCTTACTAATGGTCTTATTGTATAGATCTTCTGTGGGTAGGAAGATATTGGAGGTGGTTTTAGATGAAGAGGGCCCATTTCGCACACTCTGTGACTGGGTGACAGCACAAGATGGGAAAAGGTGAGGAATAGTTTCTTCAAGGTCAGTGGTGGAGTTGACAGGTAAGGGAGAGTCGACTGTCTTTATGTTGGGAACCACTAGATCTCCTACCAAGTCATTACCCAATAATAAATGAATGCCGCTCACAGGCATTGGATCTTTCCTAACGGCTACTTGCACTTCCCCAGTAATCAAGGGACATTGGAGGTGCACTTTAGCTAAGGGATAGGAAGAATGGGATGAGAGATCTGAAATTAGAACACTCTCATTAGTAAATGCTGTAGATATCTCAGGAATGACGTTAAACAGGAGGATAGATTGTGCTGCGCCCGTATCACGTAGTATACGAATAGGGAAAGAACGAGACCCCTCTATGATTGAAATTTTTCCCTCATAGGTGAATGAAGAGAAAAGATCCTGATGGGGCCTTTCCACATTGGTGGTTGTTATTGGTTTGAATTTGGGATCCAGGGAACTACTTTTAGAAGTTCGACACTTTGGGTGTTTACAAGACTGGATCGTACGGCCTGGTTTTTTACAGTAAGAACAATAAAACTTGGTTGCATCGGGGGGGCGTAGGTGTGGGACCTTTCGACCTACCACTCACGTCCCCAAGGTTATCATCAGAGGAGGACCTAACATGCTGGAAAGTACCACGTTCCCTACTGCCCAGTGACTCCATCAGCAAGGCGTACGCATCAGCCACCTCAGCGGCACGCCCTAAATTAACCTCTCCACGCTCCTCCACATGCTTCAAGATGTGAAATGGTATCTTGCCCTTCCACTCCTCCAGGACTACCAAGTTTAATAAATCCTGAAATGTGGAGGTCTCTGTAGTCTCTAACCACTTCTTGAAAAACCTAAGCTTTTCTTGAGCAAACTCAACAAAGGTGTATGAAAATGTTTTGGTTAGTTTACGAAACTTCTACCGATATCTATCTGGCGTGATAGCATAAGAGGTGAGGATATTCTTTTTTACGTTATCATAGTCATCAGTCTGGTCTAAACAGTTATAAACTCTACGAGCCTTACCACATAATTTAGAACTAACACCGACACCCACTGGTCCTTAGGCCACTCATTCTTCACGGCTATTTTCTCAAAAGTCCTAAATGACTCGTCCATATCGGATTCATCAAACTCGGGAACAAGGGAAGAAGCATTGGCAGGGTTAAAAGCAGCTAGTCTCTCTTTTAATGCCACTTCTTTTAATTTAAACTCCGATGGTAAGGTGACTTCTGTCTCTTTCACCTGTAGTTCTTTCAGTCTAACCTCCTGCTCCAACTTGGCCTGTTCCAACTCATGCTCCAACTGGAGTTCTTTCATTTTGATTTGGAACTCGAACCTAGCTCGTTCTATTTCTAAGGCGTCTATTCTTTGTGATTTTTCTTGAGGGCTAGCCAGACCTGAGGCAACTTCTGAGTGAGGAGGGGTGGTAGATAGTGGTTGAAGTGTATTGGACATGGGCGCTAATTGGTCAACAGCGGATTCTTCTAAAACTTCTTGTTGAACCAACATTTCAATTACCTGATTTTTTAACACTTCCTTAGTCATTTGCTGTGAATATGGTATATTGTAATAGGTGGCTATTCCTTTCCATTCTTTCTTCAGGATATTAACACGTAATTTAGATACGGAAGGATTTTCAATAAAATCCTGGAGATCAAAACCTGAGGTGGTCATTGTTAAGAAAAACTAGATAAATTAACTAATGGCCAAAAAGATAAGATAAGTGGATTACCCTAGAAAATATCACGGCAGTGGATAACCAGAAAGTCCCGGAAACTACCCAAGTTATACCTAGGGAAATTACACTTATGAATATTGTTCTTCTGATAAGATCCTTAGATAAGGATAAGAGACTTGGAAAGATACTTGAAACAGGAAGGGCGTATTACGGCATTAATATAAAGATCCGGATAAACAACCCTTGAGTTACTATATTATTGACTCCGAATGAGATAATGAGAAGAACAATAATTGAGGCTTTATAATTATGGGGTCCTGGTAGAGCGGGGCGTCCCAAGATATCACTTCACTCTAAACTAGTGACTATGGAACAGCCTACTCTGGAGCGAGGGTACGGCATTAAACAGATCCGGATTCTTCCCTACACTCGATAAGACTTACTACACGACTGCCTACGTGTAATAACAGGTAAGCCTTATGACACTCGGAACCTAATATCCTACGTCTGTCACTCTTACTGTACGATAATACCAATATATGCACACACATATGAAGGGAACTTTAAACCACAGTAAAGCAATTGTGAACAGAAGTGACTGGGAGGAATAATTAACAAGGGGGGAAGAAATATGGCACTTAAGGTCGGGTCCTGTCGCGGTCGCCATTTGTTACGAGTTGGGGATTTAGAAACTGGTTTAGAATATAGTTAAAAGTCTACCCAGATCCCAACAGGCAACAACAATAAAAAAAACTAAACAAACAAAGACAATCTGACTATAAAAGGGTAGACAAAGGATGCGAGTTTTTGTTGTGTATAATAAAGTACAATAAATTCCTTAACAAAATATCCAGCTTTCTATAATAATTTACCGTTTACCATACTTAACTTAAACATACGCAACATGGGCTTAACAGTATATACATATTTATACAACATACAACAATCTGAAGCAAGTGGAGGTGGGAGGTAATATAGGGCTACAATACTCAAGTGCGGTGCTGAAGTCTCTGACGAGTAGGGCTGAGTATTGAAGAAGATGGTAGGTAGTCACTGTGCCATAAGTTTCCAGGATAGGTAATCCAAGTGTGGTCACTTCCCAGAGGGAACTGAACTCTCCTCGATCCGGAGCTGATAAGGAAGAGTTGGAGGAGGTGACGCAACAACCAGGATATGGAGAAAGGAAACCCTGAGTGGGGACTAAGACTAGTCATACTCGGGTTTCGTCCCTAGATGGCGTTGCTCGGTAGTGCTGGGTAGTTAGATCATGACACAATAGATGGCGTGGTTCGTAATAATACATACAGGTATATTTTTTTTAGAGGAAAAGGGGGACGAGAGGAGAGGCATATCATTTATTTTAATTTGACCAATACATATTTTTTCTCGTAAAACTACAATAATTTAAGCTAATAACGTGTTGAGGAAGACGGAGTTACTGTAGATGAGTAAGATGCTCGACGATGGAGAAGTATTAACAACATAACCACTAACACTCAGATGACACGAACACACCACAATAATTGCACAAACATATCTCAACCAAAGCTAACTTTACCATGTTACAGTGGGTCAGTTAAATTTGACTAAATTTGTTTGGTTCTTTTCGTTTGGTTTCAATAAATATAATGACTACTTTAGTGGTCCTGTCCGTCACATTTAACCAACATCGTGTACATTTTGGATAATGGTGCGGCGCCCAAGTGAACACAGCGCCCGCCTCCTGTCGTCGGCTCCCCTCCAGAACACCCGTAAATATACAGAATAAGGAAGTACAGGTGGTCGAATGCAGTGCCGTCCACACAGCGTCCTTATATTTATATTCAGTATACAATATCCAAGGTGCCCCCTCTTGTGCATTCTGGGGAAGAAGGTGAAGGAGAGGTATAAATAAGGAACTTGAAAATATTGTCAATTTTAGTGATCATATTCTTTACACCGGACCTAAATATCTCCTCAGGGATGTAATTTCTGAGAGTTTCTATATTATGTTAACGGAGCAGACAAGCACAATGTCATTCTATCACAGACAGGGAGTTCTGAAGGTTATATTACGCTTAATACTAAAACTTACTTATAAACTCACTTGATGAGAAAAAAATATCAATATGTGAACGAAAAACTGTTCCTTTGTGTCTGTTTGTTAACTGTAAGAGAAAGTAGGATATAGGGTGTCGGATGAGGACACAGCTCACCTGTTTGTGGTAATGAGCGGCACAGAAATAAGAAAACAAAAACCTTTATTCATAAGACAAAACAAAAGAGTAATACAAGAAAATTCAGACATCTACGGTAATCAAATATTTTTTTCACAAGAACTCTTTATTACAACATCGTCGACGACTATCATGTTCCTCAAACTGCTGCCTCGTTGACTGCTTTTCCTCACATTCTAGATGATAAACAACTCATCAGAGTATTCATAGATGTGCACCATGACCATAAATATCGCCAGGGTGAACACCTCGTTCCGTGGCTCAAGGCCTGACTGTGTGTGTGTGTGTGTGTGTGTGTGTGTCGTGTAGAAGCGTATATATATAACGCTCTCTCTCTCACGCTCCAGGACAGTCGACTTCCTGTCTCATTTCCATCAACAATGATATACAAGGTATCCAACTCGGTGCCAAATAAGAAACAACTGGAGGTACAGTTAAAGTCCCAAACATTTTCAGATAAACTTACCCACGTGGTCGTAACGTCATGTATGGTAAAGCAAACAGAGAGGATAGGAATATCTCCCATAGTTAGTCTGGGTATTTGTGAACAAGTTGTAATTTACAAGAGACAGAGGAGGGGAGAGTTACAGCCCCAACACATACTGCTTCCTCGATACCTGAAAATCGCCTCTGTACTCAGGTAGACTCGGGCGTTCTGTAAAAAAAAAGGATTTGGACTGCAGCCTCAGGAAACATAAAGTCGCTTAAAAGTTAACCTTTTCTCCCTTATAGGTTATGGTGTTGACTGCCCTTGTGGCTCTCACCCTCGCGCGCCCCGACCCTGGCCCAGTGTCGGGCTCCTCACTCGACAGCACCACCGCCCTACCTGCAAATTTCTACAACGTCCCATCTGCCTACGACTACTCTGTCCCTGCTATGGTAAGATCGTCTGCAACAAGACAAAATTTCATGAGTCTATTATACCGTGTGGAGGAGGGCCTGTGTTTTCAGTTTGCATACTTATGACAAAGTTCCTTACATCTCAAATATGTAACTTATGAGGTACTTGAAAAGTTTGATGTACACATATTTGTTTGATGACAATACTGGATATATTTAGATAAAGAAAGTTTCCACATCAAAGTGACCTTCTCTTGAACAGACTACAGAGAAACTAAGGAAAATAAACTGTGTAAGATTTTTTTTGTCAATTGCAAACACTTCGTCCTCAGGGTCCAGTCCAGAACAACCTCAACAACGCCAACAACTACCGTCGTGGGGGAGCAAGTAATGGCTTCATCCCCCAAGGTTCCGTGACATTGCCGCTGCCAGATGGTCGTGTGCAGAGAGTGGCTTACTCCGTCAACGGCACATCTGGCTTCATGTTTTCGGTGACCTTCGAGGGTGTTGCCCAATGATCCCACACACCAAATTGTTGCCTGTGTCCCATCACATCGTCCCATCCTTGCCCCAATTTAGTGCTCCATACTATTCTCCTGCCCCAACTTGGTGCCCCATGCCTATCTCCTGCCCCAAACCAGTTCCCCATGCTATTCCCTTGCCCCAACTTGGTGTCCCATGCCTATCTCCTGCCCCAGCTTACAATACCCGAACAAATTAACTTAATCGACGACTGGCAATGTGAATGTATTTATTATCTGAAAACATCAATAAAACTCTACAAATTATAAAATATTTATTACCTTTACTGATTAGGAATTCCAATTTTAGATATTACACCTATGTAACTTCACGGTCGATTGTATTAATATATGTAAAAGTGCAGATGAATAAAATGATAGTGTCAGATGTCTAAGGATCTCTGTAGTGGGGCAGCTAAATGCAATTTTTCAAGAGAATCATGCAAATGGTGATACAAGCACCTAGTCCGATCGTTCATCCAGTGTCATTAGTCCCGTGCGATCTGTACACCATCCAGATAACTAAAACCCCGTTTTCCTTGGCTCGGCTCTCCCTCGCTGGCACATCCTGTCAATTCAGGTGCGGCTGCTTAACTGATTTGGGGTTGGTTAAGCAGCATTTGGGACACTAAGCTGTTGCAGTATGACATGCTTTTTCTTAGCTGAGCCCCATGCTGGGTGGCACAGCAGTGATGTCACTCACCAGTGTGCCCTGGTAGTGCCCGACAATCACTCCCTCACATGAAGAGACCCTCTGCATGCTACCCTCACCTAGTTGGAAAAAACATAAAACCAGTACATAAAACCAGTCATAAATAAGACAAATATACATCTGAGAATATCAGTAATAGAAAAAATCATCTGAGCATGCTTGATAACATACATATCGACAGTAAGATCATTTAGATTGACCAACTACATCAATTTCTATAAAAAAAAGTCATCTTTCGACGGTCAATTTGGCAGTCATCTTGGATTTCCAATTGGCCAATCAGACAGATTTGACAAGTAGCCCCTAGGGTATGATCATGCCAAATTTCATGCTTGTATCACCATTTGCACGATTTTTCCATTATCTGCTCTACTACTGGTGGTCTCCTGTGCTTAGTAGTGAGTATCTTGACAAGTCCACGAGAGACTGTTGGAAGTGGAGGAACTGACTGCACCACCGTCGGTTTCAAGTGAACAAAATGGTCTAAATACTGTAGTCTTATAACAGTGTAGAATCCACAAAGGTAAAGCTGTCTGAGAAATTCAATCGCATTATTCCCTACATTTCTTGCCAAGGAGACCACTCAGACACTATACCTGAGCAGAGTTGTACATCATCCTTTATGATTACAACATTACTTGAAATCTTTAAAACACTGCTTGACTTTTACATCAGCAGCACGAAGCGCCATTCAGTCCTGAGTGATGAATGAAAATATATTAAAAATGTACTTCAACTGTAGAATTGGTCAAAGACACGGTGGACAGCCAGGCAGAGTCCAGTGTCTTGAGAGAAAAAACATGAGTTTTGACTGTCTGACGTTCATGACCAAAGTGATGAGTGAGGAAATGCAAGAAGAGACAATGAACATTATTTATACATGAAGAGAACGATAGAAACTAGAACATGAACAGTGTTGAAGAGAACAGTAAAGACTAGAACATGAACAGTGTTGAAGAGAACAATAAAGACTAGAACATGAACAGTGTTGAAGAGAACGATAAATATCTAGAACAGATTAGACAAAGTGAAATGATATGTAGGTTATAATGTTATCCAAGAGAGTGCTGATAAGGTGGAAACTGATGCAAAAAAAAGAGAAGGCAAGAAGATTCTACAGAGTTAAGCGTCTCAGTAAACACAAGGATAACATAACAGAAACCACCCATGTTCTGATGCTCCAACAATTCTACAGGAAAGAGGTGAAGACTGTCGTGGACACATTGACTGGAGTATTCAGACCATTCTAAGGTTTGTATGGACAAAAGACTATATCATGGTTTTATTCCTCTTCTGAAACTAACTAACTTGAGACAGGAGACTTACTTCCTCACTCCTGTGCTGTACAAGGGAATTTGAGATTTTCATTCGTGGACTTTATGAAGAAACTGTACTTCAACAACCTGAGCTTATAACACAGGGAGATGTAGTCGGTACGGTAACTTAATGCTAAGTACCGAAACATTGTCCTCTTGATGAATCTAGTGTATAAACTTTCTCTAACGGCACTGGTTTCTTCACCCCTCCCCCTAAAAAGAATACACAGCCGACAGAAAATTATCAAAAGCCTTCTGTCATCATGTCGGTGATGGACTTTTGCCCATTCATCGTTGCTTTTGTACCGTGAGACTAATATATATAATGCACCAGACCTCAAGGAAGTTAGTCAATGAACGGACGAAACTGACACAGACGTACAGTATTGTGGTAGTGGTCTGTACCTATAGACTTGTATTAATACATTGGCGACAGTCTTATTGTCGACAAGTTGTAGTGAGAAAAAAAAAAATCTAACCCAGTATTTCATTAATTTGAGAACTTATTTAAATAATTAAACTAAAATGTGTCGTTAACTAATTCGAGTTTTTGTGTCACCCTGAAGATAACACCTCCGGTTACTGGTGTTCCTGACGACACTAACCAAACAAAACTTACCCTAACACAGGTTGGTCCAACATCTTCAACATCTTGGGCAACACAGACATGAAGTCCTAAGTTCGCGAGCTACACATGCTAAAAACCTTTAAGGTTATAATAGGTTGTGGCAGAGTAGCGTCTTATACAATGAAGAATCTTATTATTATATTATTTTTGGCGGGATAAGAGATGGGGGCGGGTAGGATATACAAATATATTCCTCCAAACTCCATGAAGAACGCGGGAGAAAAAAATCTGAAAACTAAATACTGTAGATTGGATACAAACAGAAAAGTTTAAAGATGAATAGACGACACCAATTTTTTTATAGAACTACTGCTGGTTTGATTTTTGCCAGAGTACCCGTTTTAATATCAATAATGGTGGTAGCGAGTCAAAGGCAAGCCTCCAGTGTTTCAATTCCCGTTTAGTTTTAGATCTTAGATTTAACTTGTTTCATCAAAGAAAATGTACTGTACTTTCACATATATACAGTAAGTACTACGAAACAGGGAGTTTATCTCGAGTGCAAAGTCTCTTAGCTGGGGTAAACGATCCTTACAGACCAGTTTCCATAAACTATCCTGACTTTTTTCGTTAGCAGCAGTGAGTCAGACTGTAATTCATGCAATTCAAGCTGAAGATCTGGTAACTATGTGAAGACTGAGCTTCTGTTTGTCAAAGTCTACAAAAATCATGTCATACTCATCTGATATAATAAATTTTTGTTCCGCAAATCTTGAAAATTCTTCCTTGATATCATCTGTCATCAGTTCACGACAAGAAGCAAAGTGTGCAAAATCATTCTTCCTTAAATACACTGAATAACTACAGCTCCTTGTGGAAAGCTTCAATGCCTCCAACTAGCTGAGAGAAGAAAGTATCTATCTTGCAGTTGATTTTAATATTCATGTTGCTCATTCTGTAGAAAGGAAAGAGTCTTCCCAGCACTCAGCCGGCTGGTATTTGACTGTAGTGGTACAGTATGTCACTAAATTCTGTATTAATTTCTTCAAGTAAATATATGAATTTCTTATGTCTCTGAGATATGATGCTGCCTCTAATTAAATTCACTCCGCTGACAACATTGTGCATGACATCACTTATCTGTTATTATTTTTTGTACATAACTCTAGAATTGCAGAGCCATCCTGACATAACCTAACATAACCTGACCTTCTTAAGCTAAGTTAATCAATCCCAGCCTAACCTAACCTAACCTACTTATACAGACAAAACCAAGCATAAATTGTTCTTTTTAAACTAAGTAAATCAATCAAAACCTTACCTAACCTTAGCAGTCCAGTTAGTGGTGTTTTTCAATATTATACAGTAAATTTCGGATGAGACGACACGAGAAAGACCAATAGAATTTACTTGGCAATGTCGAGGTTTCTAATTATCATATTTTTCTCACGTCTAAGACTTTCTCTTCATATATCTTGTATAAGTGACCTAAATATCTCCTCGGAGGTATAATTTATGTGAATTTTTACAATATCAACTCAGTCAAAATATGTATTTATATTTTACTTTATAGCAGACAAGGTTAGTGTCATTCTGTCGCAGAGCCGCAGTTGTCCGGGTGTGAGAGAACAGTTGATAATGACACTTTCTTATATGAAAAATGAGAATGAAACAATAGACAATATCTGAAAGTAATATTTTTTACGTGTAAATAAGCTTATTGAACACTCTAAGGAGAACCAATGACCGAAGGCCCCGCGAGAGAGGTAAAACTCCTCTGTTTATCTACTATACGAACATAGTAAAATAAATAATCATTAAGTTCTACCCAAAGCACAGTAAATAAGACTCTATAAACGTCAGATGTCTGAGTATACGCAGCCACCATCGTCTGACAAAAGACTACTGTATCTCTCACTGAATATCAGAATGTTTCTTCCTGTTTGGTGATCTGTACTCCAGACCCCCAAATTACGACCAAAGTGAGATGTACTTTATTCCTCCATATATAAGAACGCATACTAGAGTACGCAATGTAATGAGGGTGACTCGGGTAGAAATATAGGTAATAGTTATAGTTGTAGGATTGTAAAGTGAGGAAAGTTGGTAGCGTGGCCCATTAGTTATTTGACCATTAATATGTTGTTAGGGGAAATCCACTAAACACCAATTCTAAGTACAGCTATTTAGTAATTAACTCAATGGCATGGACACATTAATAGATCATTACATTTACGTTACTCGACAATGACTCCCGACACAAACATGAAATGGATACACTTCCCACGGTAAGTAACTCACCCTTTGGATCGCTATGACAAAATGACTCACGTGTGACCTGAGGGAGGCCCAGCAGCTGGAGAATCTGTCTGCAGGTGCTCCTGAAGAGACTGGTCCCAGCGGTTGCTGGACTATTTCTCCTGTGGAAGACTCTGCAAGCTGGGAACTCTGTGCTGGGGAGGGAAGCCGCCCTCCCGACTTCGACTAGTGACGAGCGTGCCTCCGTCTTCCTCTAAGTTCTGACTCTCCATGTCTCCCTGGGAAGGAGCTGTCGGCCCCTTCTATTGGCGGTGTCAGGCCGGCAGATGTCGTCACTAATTAACACTAATCTGGGTATGTCGAGATAGCTATGTTTGAACAGGTGAGGGCTGGAGTGTAGTTTCTTGAGTTAACACGGCCATGACGCCGGTTTGACTAATCAAGCGGAAGTGAGAACTCAGGTTCATTGTGACCATGACCTCTAATGGGTCAGGTCTTAATCGCACTTTAATTAAGAAGGCTGGGTCAACTTACGAGGGTGTACACATGTGCTTCCGGTCACTGCTACATGTCTTGTTTTTCTCTGGGCTGTAAGCTATGGTCTGATAAACAATCATTACAACAATATGTTCTAAGACGAGGTGACCTTTTATTTATTTCGAACGGTCTATAGAAGGACGATATCAAAACAGTGTTAACATTCATGTGTGATCTGTGAAATATTTTTCCTCTCCTCCTCAAGGTCCTACTCATACAGAACAACCTCAACACCATCAAGAGGAACAAGCAGCTCCTCCGATAACAACTTCCGTCATTAAGGACCAAGGTTCCGTGACGGAGACGGTCGTGAGCGGAGGATGATTTACTCCGTGACTGGCATCTCAAGCATCATACTGTATGTGGTGGACCTTTGGGGGTGTCGCCTAATATTACGGCTACCTACCTCCTACAAGTGTGCCCCACCTTATTGCCTCACCCTTACCCCAACCTGCCAGCCTGTTCCAACCTACCATCCTGTCCCAGCCTACCATCCTGTCCCAGCCTACCATCCTGTCCCACCTAACCAATCAGCGCCAGACTACTTACTCGGTCCTGAAAGAGAATATGGGTTCCAAGGGATGATTTCTCTCAATTGTCAACGGATCTAAATGAAACTCGACAAACTCACTTAACCAAACAAAACGTAACGTAACGTAACGGAACCTAATGTAACGTAACGTAACGTAAACAACGCTGTCTTTGATACTTATCAACACTGTACATATCAGATCAGATGGCGAGAGAAAGGCGGAAAAGAATTGACTTGACAATGTCGAGGCTCCTAATTATAATTTGTCTTACTGATGAAGGCTTCCCTGCATATAATCTTTTATTATTGACCTAAATGCCTCCTGAAGGTGCAATATATGAGAGTTCCTGTATCATCAACTCTGCCAAATACATCTATTTATACTTTCTTTATAGCGGACAAGGTCAGTGTTGCAGACATGGAGTTCAGCAGGTTGTGAGAGAACACCTGACACTTTCTTGCCAAATTCATATGATGAGAATGACACGACACAATATCTGAAACTATTATTTTGTGGTTTGCGTTTTTTTTTTTTTTTTTTGTACAATGTAAAGAAATTAGCGACTTGAGGTGTCTGAAGAGCGGCAAAAAAATTCTGTTTGTGGGAAATTCACGTAAAGTGCGGCAAAGTTTGACAAATAAAGTATTAATACTTACTCCTAAGGTAATAATTAGATTCCATACGCGTAGTACAGTATGTTCACGAAAAAGCGGACACAGTTGACTCAGACGTCGCCAACGTAGACTCAGACGCAGGTAATATCGACGGGATAAACTAAATAATAAAACACTTTTTATTAGAAGATGGTCTACAGGGGCCATAAAAACAAACTTCTCAGCGTCTGTTGTATAGTTGTTGGTGATAATGATCCAGTGTGTGTGCATCATATATTATACCGCCAGAGGGACGCCTCGTTACAAGGCTCAAGGACTGATTGTGTGTGTGTGCGCGCGCGCTCTTGTGTTTGGGAGTATATATAACACTCTCTCTCACGCTCCAGGACAGTCGCCTTCCTGCCTCTACACCACCAACAATGACATACAAGGTAAACAAAAGTTAGATCCTGAAACATTTGTCCCAGTACATTCCTCATGTAGGTTTAACAGTACTTGATTATCTTCTTCAGTTAATCTGGATATCTGTGAATAAGTCGTGGTCTCTACGATAGACAGGCGGGAGACAGAGTTATACCATTTACTCTGCCTCTCACTGAAGAATACAATATTGTGTACATTCCTCCTTCAAGAAGGACCACGGAGCCACCGTATACAGATAGACTCTGTGAATATTATGAAGACAAAATTATAATTTGCTTTGAGATGCATCCTCATGTGGACGTGGTTGTGAAAACTGTAAGTCACTGTGTAAAATACTTTTTTCTCCTTCGTAGACCGTTGTGTTGACCGCCCTCCTGGCTGCCACACTGGCCAACCCCGACCCTGCCCCTGTGTATGGCACTACAGCCTACAACGCCACAGCCCACACAGCCTCACACTACAACAACCCATCTTCTGGCTACGACTACTCAGTTCCTACTACGGTTAGATCATCTGTAGATCATTTGCAAAAACTGGCAGGAACTTTCCTGATAATAATAACATGGTGATGTGGTTCTCTATGTTAATTTTGTCTTCTCTTTGATAATTTTAGATCTCATCCACGGCGCTTATGAGAAAATAGAATGTCGTCATGTTTTTACTGTGTACATTTGGTTTCTAACAGATACAGGAGTAATTTCCAGCTTACACAGGATAACACGTGATATATTTCCGGCCCTTTCATTCTAAATTTCAAGAAAGGGACGATTCATTAACCTTATATGTAAAGGTAAAGTTCTCGGGTTTGGTTTTGATCATTGAATATTTTCTGGATAATTATACATCCATATTTCTGGGATTGTTGACAGGCCTACACTGAGTTTTGTTAGTTCCTTCCCACCTTCGTGATTAAGAAGGATCAATCTGGCCCGGGGTAGGAGGTAGTGGGCAGCTACCAAACAGGGAGGTACTACCGCCTGGGAAGATATTGGAAGCATAATGTATTGTCTAATGGTAGACCCTGCTGTCATATGGCATCACAAAAATTGTGACCAAGTTCCAGGTTGCTAATCTGAATTTCTGCCTCATTTACACACAATTGCAGGTCTCAATTGTTTCTCTTACTATACAGTATATTATTTCTCACTATTGATCTTTTTTTCATTTTTGTATTTCGTTGTGGTCCTTTATTATTATTATTATTATTATTATTATTATTATTATTATTATTATTATTATTATTATTATTATTATTATTATTATTATTATTATTATTATTATTATTATTATTATTATTATTATTATTATTATTATTATTATTATTATTATTATTATTATTATTATTATTATTATAACATTATCGCCCCCCAGGCCCGATGTGGGTCAGTGGCCTTTGCTCGGGTGGGCTAATCCCCGTAAAAAAAAAAAAAAAGCTGTAGTAAGCGTCCGTCCCCAGGATGGTGAAAAATCCGACTGATTTTCCTTCCCCTGAACCAATCAATCAAAATTAGACGTGTGGGCTGTCGGCATCCAACACCGCCGAACAACCTAAATTCCTTACAGGCTAAGTTACCGAGTTCAATCACCCTCAAGCATTCGATAAGTGATTCAGATTACCCGAATTACTATCGTTGGTAGTCAGGGAGCTATATAGTCCACTGGACCACAATGGGATTAAAAGCTATGCCATCTTAACTACTAACTTGTAGCTGCTTGATTACCAACCGTTGTGGCCTCGGTTCGACCCCGGCACCCAGACGTGTAAATTGTTGATATTGATACAGTTTATTTGGCCAGAAAAACACAGACACAGAAACGATAATAATAACAATAGTAACATGGCTGAGCCAGTTGAGAGCCTGAGTTCTCTTGAAGGCTCCGATAGAAAACGATTTGGGATTCTTGTGTGATCAGTGATAACTTTTTCCTCCCCTCAGCGTCCTGTCCAGTACGACTTTAACAACAACCATCAACAAGGAACTAATGATGACTTCAACCCCCAAGGCTCTGTGGCCATGCTGCTCCCAGACGGTCGTATACAGAGAGTGACTTACTCCATCAACGGTACATCTGGCTTCACGTTCGCGGTTACGTTCGAGGGTGTGGCCCAGTAGTCTTTAACCTCCTTTGAACTACCCCACCTTGCCGTCCCATCCCTCCTCACTCTACTATCTGTCCTTAACCATTAATGTGATCTTGTTCACGAGTAAAACTAAACATCACTGTTCCCATGACTGTGTGAATGTATTTATAATATGAAAAACTTCAGTAAAAGTTTTTAACACATGAAATCTTAATTAAAATCACCCAGCACAAGAAAGGTTTATTAAGAAATAAATCTCAAATAACAAACTTAAAATTTCAAAAAGTTTTTATTTTCTACACGACCACAAGTTTCCAAGTGATGTGTTGTGCGAGTGTTTCTCTGAGACACTCGACAGATCCACGGGTAACACTTACACTAAAAATCTTGGCTTATCAATTCATCGGAAATTTACTGATGTGAATAAACACTAGATAAAGGAAAGAAGTCAAATACAAGAAGGAGATTCAAAATCTATAAGCACAAGAAGTAGCATGTTCAAGCTCGTCAAGTCATCAGCTGAAGCCGTGGAAGCAAGAACAATACGGGGCATCAAAACTATCAAGAACAATGAGTGGATGCGACGCAGGCCATCAGCATCCTTCCCCATTCATGGTCGCCGCTAGTTAGGTAGGATGGTAAACACAGTAGAGTGATTGAATAAGGTTGTGGGTGGCGTACCACAAGGAACATCTTATGTCCTACCTTGACTAAGGTCGTCAACAACCCTTATAAAGTCTTCACTATATCATCAATTTCCTGATGATGCGAAGATTTTGACGAAAACTAGTAAATCACGGAGAAATCATTTCAATATACCCTGTATATTGACTTAGACGAAATGTTATGGTGGCAACACACAACACTCCACAGTTAACTCAGAAACAACAACGAGGCTTAAAAGATAAACATAACATAGACAGATCTTTACTGGCAACAGGAGGCTTCAGTGTTAGTAAATAAAGAACTTACTAATTGGTACGCAGTTGGAAAGGGAGTAATACAAGGCTGTGTTCTATCCCCTATAGAGTATGATATCTATTCAGAATTCTTAATGAGAGAATTTCTAAGTGATAATGAAGGACTAAAAGTTAATGGTAAAGTAATTTCAAATAAACGCTATACAGATGATACTGCTCTTAATACAAGTAGTGAAGAATAAAAATTATGAAAGGCAACAGGAAACATAACTAATGGAAAATTTTGTGTATTTGGGAAGTAGACGTAAATAAGAAATCAAACAAGAAAAGAGCAAACAAAAACAGCATTTAATAATCGAAAAAGAACTAATGAAAATAGACAATAACTTCAATTTGAGAAAAAAGCTGTTAAAAGGCTTTATATGGCAAAGAGTATTGTACGGGTCAAAAGCATGAACACTTTCAGCAGTCACTAGAAGGAGGATGGAGGCCCTTGAAATGTGGTGTTATAGGCAAATGCTAAGAATAAGCTACAGTGACAGGAAAATAAAGATCAGCAAAAACTTCAAGATAAAGGCTTTACTTGAAGAAAAATTAGATACTTTGGACGGGATAATAACAGAAGTATTAATGGGCAAAGTTGATAGTATGAGTGCCAGGGGAAACCGGTACTCTGATTGATTAATTATAATATAGACATACAAGTTTGCTTTATATATAATTACATCACCCAGAGTAGTGATCATTTAAGCAACAGTTATTACTTTACGTATCATGCCATAGTGGTGTGACATTCAAATCACCTCTGCAAGTATCGGGTGCCCCTGCTAACGTGGCATCGTGCGGGACAGTGAGGCGTGGTGGTTGACACAATACTTAGTCGATAGATTGACACCCTGTCACTCAGAAGTGTGTCATAGAGTCCTTTACTCTGAGCTATAATCATTTTGTGTCTCTCAGCTATCACAAGTTTAATAGCAGATGTTCGTTAGTCTGACGACTATCAGGATTATAAATATTTTATCTATAATATAATAAAAAACTACTTGTGTTTAAGTGAATCCCAAGTAATACTATGAAAAACAAACATAAACCATCACTATATAGAAGTGACAAGAAATAACTAAGAATATATTACCAATAAGGAAAGCTATTAAATATGCGACTGGAAGTGACTAAAACAAACAGCGACCTCCGGGACCTGAAGCACTGTACCTAGTAAAATTTTATTGGCAATTCTCATTAATAGTATAATACATATTAGTGAGTAAGAGATGGCATGCTTTTATTGTGGTATATAAGAAGTTTCCATGAGAGGTAAGAAAGTTTCAGTAAGTCTGGATGCAGTTAAATTATTACGGAATAAATACATTTGTTTACATAGTGGGCACTCAACAAAGATTATTTGAACAGCTGCAGATAGGGTCCGGTTCTGGTTAGAATTTTACACTAAATGATACAAGGTACTCAATGGGATGGAACCCCATAGGTATCGTGTGGCTTTTCGTAGGATGGAACCCCATAGGTATCGTGTGGCTTTTCGTAAGATGAAACCTCATAGGTATTGTGTGGTTTTTCGTAGGATGGAACCTCATAGTTATCGTGTGGTTTTTCATAGGATGGAACCCCATACGTATTGTGTGGTTTTTCGTAGGACGGAACCTTATAGGTATGGTGTGGTTTTTCGTAGGATGGAACCCCATAGGTATTGTGAGGTTTTTCGTAGGATGGAACCTCATAGTTATCGTGTGGTTTTTCATAGGATGGAACCCCATAGGTATTGTGTGGTTTTTGTAGGACGGAACCTTATAGGTATCGTGTGGTTTTTCGTAGGAGGGAACCCCATAGGTATCGTGTGGGTCTTCGTAGGTGGCGTGTGGAGGTCTGTAGAGGGATCCTACAGGTGGATGAGGATAGCGGCTTTGACTTGCGGGTGGATGAGGGTGGCGGCTTTGACATGGGGATGTTTGAGGGTGGCGGCAATGACTTGGGGGTGGATGAGGGTGGCGGCTTTGAATTGGGGATGTTAGAGGGTGGCGGCTATGACTTGGGGGTGGATGAGGGTGGCGACTTTGACTTGGGGATGTTGGAGGGTGGCGGCTATGACTTTGGGCTGGATGAGGGTGGCGGCTTTGACTTGGGGATGTTTGAGGGTGGCGGCTATGACTTGGGGATGTTTGAGGGTGGCGGCTTTGACTTGGGGATGTTTGAGGGTGGCGGCTATGACTTGGAGGTGGATGAGGATGGCGGCTTTGACTTGGGGATGTTTGAGGGTGGCGGCTTTGACTTGGGAATGTTTGAGGGTGGTGGCTTTGAATTGGGGATGTTTGAGGGTGGCGGGTTTGACTTGGGGGTGGATGAGCGCTGTGGCTCTGACTTGAGGGTGGATGAGCGTGGTGGCCTGGCGATGAATGGGAGTGTGGCAGGATATCCGGTCTTGCCAGGGCAGCTGCCACCAGTGTGGTCACGACTAGAAGCTGTAAAAAACACAAGGGTATTATATAGGGGGACCGGTGGTAGAAGCGATACCGTTATTGCCTCGCAAGCGTGATGTCACGGGTTCGATTCCCGGGCCGGTGGAAGATGTTTGGACTTACTTCCTAGCCCCATTAGTCCCTGTTCACCTGGAAGTAAAGTAGGTACCTGTTGTAAGTCGAAAATTGCGAATTCGTATTCAGGGAGTTGTTGGAGC